TACCTACCTAATATACTAAAAGGAGCTACGCGAAGATATCGATTTTATAGCGAATTATAGTTACTACTAATATCCAGTAACCTTTTAGCGATCTAGTAATAGAATTTATTATCTACTTACTATAGATAGTTTATAAAGATAATATTATAAACGCTATCTTAAAATACGCTACATTCCTACCTATTTTATCGATAACTAATACTATATAACTAGCTAAATTATTTTATTAAAAAATAGAACTCTAATTTAGGCTATTAAATAGTAGTTTTAGACTAAAGATTAGTCTTTATTAGTAAATTCTAGTCTAAACTCTACTACCAAGGCAATATTAAATTAAGATTTTTAATAGCGTTTTATCTATAAACTAAATACTTAAGAGCTATCTAATATTAGGAAATAGGCGTATAGCTAGCCCTATTATAATAATACTCCTATCTATATAATATCTTCTCTATTCCTTTACTCTACGAATAGTATTAGCGAAATAATAGCGTAACCCTATCTATATTAGAGCTAAAGATTATAATAAGTAGAAGTTAAAAAGGTCCAAGGCGAAAGAAAGGCCTAAAATAAACTATATTATTTAGTTAAATAGAAGAGGTAGCCCTCTAAGTATAACTAATAGATACTAACTACTCTTAAATATAGGAAATACTAGAAGTATTGTTAAAATTCTAGAAATAAAAGAAAATATCGAATTAATTAAGATCATTCTAGAAAAATATTAATCTAATTATAAAATACTAGCGAAAATATAGCGAAACATCTAGCTTATCCTAACTACCCGCTGTCTCTATAAAAACTAAGGAAATATAAAATTATCCTTAAAATATTAAAAAGAGCCTCTTATACGCTAATAGAATACTAGTAAACAAATAACTAAACTAGATAGTCTTTAGCAGAGAAATCCTTAATTATATCTATCTTAAGCTAGTTATATTAGGGATTAGAGAGATTATTGTATTTACTTGGCTAACTATAATCTTAGGGAGATAATGAAAGGACCCTTATTATGCTTAATAATTAGACTCTAGTAAATATATACTAAATCTATCTAGGTAAGGTATGGTAATTATATTTCTAATATATTATTTAGTTAAAAACACATATATTTTTTTTAGTAATATTATATACCCTAAGAATCGGCGGTTATAAATACTAGATTACTTCTATTTAGTATATAGCCTTCTAGTAAAATTAAGTTACTACCGTTCTTTATAAACTAACCTATTTCCAAGGGAGCTGGCCACCCCAAAACACCATAGTAAATACGATATATTCTACAACTGATATCTCAACAACCACGTTTTTATTTTATTAAATTATTTGCTGATAGCTGTTGATAAGGCTTTCCAACACTATATATTTTGATGAAATCTGAAACCTGCATTGTTACGGTATCGAAAATTACGTTGCTAGGAGCTAGAAATATAAATATCTGATTATATCTCAAGTACTAAGTTATAGAAATTCTTTAAACTCCCGTTAGAGACTGAATACCACCTAAAAAGCATTAGTTTTTAAGGAAAAGTCCCTAAAACCTGCCGTTGTCGTGATACTATGTAATTTATCGCATTTATTATGGTGTTTTGGGGTGGCCAGCTCGCTTGGCTGACCAGCTCACTTGGGAAATACGTTAGTAGCTAGACTTAGTCTAACCACTAACTAATTTATAAATTTATTAAAATTAACTCTATTTTTTAATTTTTATACGTAATTCTATCTACTAAAAATATCTGAAAAAGCTTATAATAAGAAGGCTCTACTAGCTAAGGTATTAGATACTTATAATAAGAATTTTTATCCCTGTATAAGGCTATAAACTATTATTTTATATCTTATTTAAAGCTTTATAGTTACAAAAATATATAGATATCTCTCTCTAATCGCCCTACTACTAATAATATATTAAATTTAAATTAGGGAAAAGTATTACTTAACTAGATTAAACTACTAAATTCTTACTATATATCTCTACATATAAAAGATATTAAAACTAGTAGATTTAGAGAGAGTTATTAGTTCTATATATAGCTAGCTATCGATTAATATAGCGTCTATCTCTATATTTTAAGCTTATTATCTAAAAACTAAAAGAATCTTTATAAATTTAAGCTAAGGATCCTAGGGTTATTAGCTATTAGTATAATAGGCTTACTTTTTCGAATCTTATAAGATCTATAATTAGGATAAAACTAGCTTCTAAAATAGCGAAGGACTTTACTAGTATATTATCTTTATATATTAATCTTTATATATTAAATTACTAGTATTACTACTAGAGATTAAGATAAAACTATTACTAGTATTAAATATATCGCTGCGAATAGCTAGGTAATACTTGTATAATTTCTAGTTAAAGGAGGTATCTATATAGAAGACTAATATCGTAATATATTAACCTCTTCTTTAGTATATAAAATTATATATTTAACGCCTAGTAGATAGATAGTAAGTGTGAGACCACGCAGTCTCTAGGTTTGGGTAGGTAAGCGAGGTAGATGGCCTAGTTATACGTGTAATACAATAAGGTTGATTGTGTGAAGAGACTGAACGCTAGTCCGTCCAACGGACCAGCGAGAAATGCTTATATACACGACTGGCCCATTCGTGGGCGGTGAGGTCCTAGATCATCCATTCACATACGTCCTAAGGCATCTCTGTATGCCTTACGCGTCATCGACCTCCTCAGTCAGGTAGTGGTCCTGACAGTAAGACTATATACTAATAGCTCTACTTATTTCATAAAGCTATGAAAAACATATATAATATAGACGACTAAGGCTTTTACTAATAGATAATTATATACTATATATAACTATCAAATTTCTCGACTTTTATAAGGAAAACTTAATTATTCCTTAGTATTTTATATCTTATATACCTTATCTATATTAGCTACTTAATACTAAGGCCTTTTTAAGTCTAGAGTATTATTTTAAAATAGCGAATACTAAAGTTATAGCGTAAGGTAGAAATAATAAAAAATGACTTCTTTTATAATATCGATACTATCCGATACCGCGCTCTATAATCTAAAACTATTTAAACCTTATTTAGATATACTAGTATCTAGCTACTAGATTCTAAATTAGTTTTAGATACTTTAGGGTACTATTCGGATAAAGAGACCTTGTATATATATAATAAGCTATTACCTATCTATAAATTCCTAAATTTAACGACTAATTCTCCGCCTAAATCTTATACGCGTATTAAAAAATTAGAAAATATAGTCTTCCTACTACTTAATAATCTAACTCTTAATTTATAAAAAAATCGGAAGTATATACGGCGCGTAATTAACGCTAAAAAATCGTCTCTATATAATACGGAACTTATAGAGATAAGCCTTACGCGCGCCCTTAGCTATAAAACGCCTAGGATAAAGCTAAAAATTAAGTGCGAGGTAAAGGGAGCTATAAAAAGCCCTCTTTCGTTAATTTTAGGAAATAGGCTAGTATAGCGTAGGTGTAAGAAAGAAGATAATTCGAAGCTTTCTACTTAGGGGAAAGACGTAGTGCAAATAGCGGCGGATTTAGCGGCTAAGGAATTAGAGGAAACACTTAAAAATAAGGAGGATAATATATTATTAGCTAATAAGGCTATTGATAGGCTTTATTTCAGGATCCTAGACCTTATATAGCTAGAAAATAAGCTAGAAGCTACAAAAATAGGAAATTTGCATTATAGAGGTTAATTGCATTATGGCTGTGGCACACCCCCTACCCGCGACGGTGGGGGGCGGGCCTATGACACAGCTATAGTCTTACTCTTCTTACTCTACTAATATATTTTAAATTTAATAGTAATAAATACTATTACTCCTTTCTCTTAATTAGACTAAGAGGAATAGATCTTATAATTTCTTATACTTAATTAGCTTCCTTTCTATCTTATTACTATCTATTATTTCGTAGTATATTTGAAAGGGCTTACTTTATACCCTTACCGCTAATAATCCTATCTATAAATATATTTAGTAACTATAAGACCTTATAGACTTTAATAGTCTATTCCTCGACTACTATCATGGGGGTTCAAACGTTCTTACCCACTCCTCTTTTTCAGGTCCCCTCTCAAAATATATATATCACTTACATAGTATATAGCACCACCATTTTATGGTCTATAATAATATAATTAAACTTTAGGGTTGCTTAATAATATTACTTTCGAAAATTCGCTTAATATTTTATATAATACCCCTTAGCCTTCCGCACTACCTTTAAACGTCTTCTTATACTTAATATTAGCGTATCTATCTTTGCTTCATCTAATACCTTCTAAGCTTCCACTAGGCATTTTTTAAAATAATGCTAGTCTACCTCCGATCTTCCTACACTAATAAGCTTCGGAAATAATATAAAAAGTTTCACTTTTAACTAGCGCCATACCGTTTTAATTGGGTTTAAATCGGGTAAGTGCGCGGGCTAGTCTTCGACGTATACTCTATAACTTTTAATCCACTCTTAACGGTGTCCTTTACTAGATAAATCCTCGCGTTATCTTGCTAAAATACTAAATTAGGGATGTAGATTAGTATTAGACCTTTTTTAAGGGTCGAAATATACGACTTTGTAGTATAACTCCTCCCTAAAGGCGATTCAATCAATCAATCAATCAATCAATCAAAGTTCTATTAACCTGTTGGAGCCTAACTCGTATCGTAATGGCTATGCAGGCGCTTCTTTCCGGTTGAAGCAAGACTCGTGTCCGTACGCCTGATCATGCTCCAGTACAAAAAAAGGGGGAAGCTGGTTCTCAAAGAGTGGAAGCACCAGCCTATTACATGTAACCCAAACCCAAAGCCCATAAAACCCGCAGTACAAATGAGAAATTCAATGCCAGCAATGCATTGAATACAAAAATGAGCGCGTGGATGCACCGTCCACCTCTCCAATGCCCTCCTTCTCACGAGACATGTACACACCTCCGTATCAAAGCCCCTACCTAGTAAGCACTAGGCAAGATCAGACCCCGTTCTTCGACTCCTCACTTCAGCCTCCATTGCTGTTCATTGTTGTTTCACGCCGTTCAGGGATCGCCCAGTCCGGCAGCGTATATTCGAATAGCGCATCAAGGTTCTCTCCACCGTCGACGTTGTTAGCAAGCATTGGGTAGTGCCCAGCGTCTTCGGGACTCTGTTCCATGACCTCAAGGTCTCCAGATTCATCATCAGACCCTTCTTGCTCAGCGTGTTGAAACTGGGCAAGAAGACCGGTTTGGTGCATGAATTTGGCAACGTAGCGGGTTGCCAGCGGGTTAGAGACGATACTGTCATAGTTGGACAGCTCAAATGGCCCAATTGCTCGATGAAACTGGTCAAATAAACGCTTTCTCAATGCGCCGTACGTCTGGCATTGCAGCAGGACGTGTCTCGGTGTCTGAGAGGAACCCTCTCCACAAGGGCATTTGTCAGAATCCACTTCATTGATATTGTATAGGAAATGCTTCAGTGCAATGCGCATTGACCCTAAAGGCGATTCTTCGCCCCGTTCTATAATTATTAATTATATTTGACCTCCTAGCTAGATTCTAGCCTAAATTATTATAAAAATATATTTTATGTAAACCTTAATATTTAGAAGATCGCGCTAAAGACTCTTAGAGTCCGTATAGAAGCACTATTGTGGTCTAAAGTTTTAAGGTTGGCTATACCGATCACTTGTCTAAGAAGATCTACGATTAGAAGCTTTCACGCCGCCATTTTCGCGTAAATCTTAGCCGTTTCCTTATAAGAGAGGGCTTAATTAGTATCTTCCTTTTCGAACGCTATTTTTTAAGTCCGAATTACTTTAAAACTCGCCATATAGTAGACCGAGCCGGATAACTAGGTGTCGTAGCACTAAGCTATTTATAGGTCTAAAATAGGTGCCAACACGCTTATAAATAGAGGTAAGTAGTAGTTCGAGAGTCTAACTTCGAAGGACGGCCGGTTTTTTCACGATTCTCGAGGGCGCTATCTTCGTGATAGCGCTTAAGCGTATTGTAGATTGTCTTAGGAGAACAGCCGAAATCGGTAGCTGATTTCACCTACGAGATACTACGCTCGTGAGCAGATACAATAGCTAGCCTTTGTATACAGTAAGCTGCGCCGTTTTGCTATTTTTTACGCCTATTCTTATTGCAATTGGAGCAATAGGGGCAGTGTAGGAAGAAAAATAAAATGGTGGGTTAGTTGCCGGGTTAAGTTGTAGTGGGGCAGTGGGTAAGAACATATGACCTCTATCTGTACTAAATTTTAAAGATTTCGATTACGCTTAATTATTAGACTTCTTTATTTTTATAGGTATTTATACTTATAACTAGCTATTTTATTAATACTAACTAGGTCTATTAAGAAGTACTTCTTAGTTTTAAGCCCCTTTCTAATTCGTATACTAGTTTAAATCCGTGTAGTATTCTTCTTTTAATATATTATTCAAAATATAAGATGGAATAATAGATATTTATATTAATAACTAATAACATATTAAATAATAAGATCTTAGTTAACTCCTAGTAAGTTTTACTAGATAATATTAATATTATCTAAACTTCTTATCTTATTTATATTATCTAGCTAAGTATTAATTAGCTTTTTATTTAAAGGTAGTTCCACTAAATAGTACTATTGAAATAAAATACTTTAGAAAATAGTTAGTATTAACTAGGCTAGTATGCGATACTAGAATTAGGAAACCCATTATAACCTAAATCATATATAATATCTCGCGATATAGATTTATATAAGCCCTTTAACGTTATAAGGTAATCTATAACCTCTAAATGAAGGAGTCAAAAGATTATCCTAATATAAGACGTAAGAATTAGTATAATTTAATATTCCTAATACTTTATTAAAACGATTTTATATAATATTTCCACCTTTTTTATCTAAAGTATAATTATAAATAAATACTACTTAAATATTAAGAAATAGCGCTAACTATCTACATATTATTAAGCTATTCTTTCACTATGTAACTAAGGCTTTTAAAGACTTAATATATAACTGACTATATATCTAGTATTTAATATTCATAATATAATTTTTAGTTATCTCAAAAAGTTAAAGTAGCTCTAGTAGAAGCGAGTCCTATAGAAAAGGTTTATATTTAACTCTCTTAAAGATAGTTAATTAAAAGATAGACGAGTACTATCTATAGATAAATATATTAGCCTTTAGTAATTAATTCTAATTATTCTTATTAGATAATTATATTAAATTATAGTTAATACGATTAATACTAAACCTCCTTTCCAAATGCCCTAATTTCGTATTAAGAGTATATCTTAAATACTCTTTGCGCTTTAAGCCCTTACGTTATAATAAGACTAAACTTAAGGCTAACCAAGATACTAAGTAGATATAAATTATAGGTAAGACTAATTAGGGATAAAGCGACTTAATATATTAATAATCGTAAGTGTAAATATTTACCTTTTATCCTCTTTACTATCAATTCTAAGCCTCTTTAATTCTAAAAAGCTACTTAGGCTATTTTCCTATAATTACTACTCTTTATGTAGGATATTCTCTTAATTCTAGTAATTAATACTAGCGTATAGCGACTTTTGGATACTACTCAAGATAATACTATTATCGCCACGGTCGTATAAAGTCTAAAATAATTAAGAAACTTATAATATTTCTTTATATTTTAAGATTTATCTGAAAAGTAGGAGGTAAAGGAGCTTAAAAGATCCCTCTCTTTAGATAAGATTAATATAGTAAAGAAAGAGAAAGATAAGAGGCCTAATAAGACTAAGATAGACCTAATTAGTAATACTAAGGATCTAGTTAATAGGTTTAATAATCTAATAGAGGTAGATGATAATAAAATTATTATATCTCTACTACTAGAGAGTAGCGCCTAGCTATGGGCATTAAAGACAAAGCGGAAAAATATAAGACTTATTAGTAGAATTATAGTATATATAATAATAAAATTAATTATAATCTAATATATCAATATTTAAAGTCAAGGAAGAAAATTAAAATTAGAGATAAAGGAGGTAATAGAAATACTTAAAATTGTACTCGAAAATATATAAGTTATAAAGCTATAAAATTTTAGTATATTTACAATATTTATTACCTAATTAGGTACCTAGTGGTTTTATTAGGTCACCCAGTATAACCTAAAACCTATCGTAGGTCCGAGGTAGGATACAAAACCCAACCTAAAGCTAGGTTAGGTTAGGTTAGGTCCGGGGCCAATTGGGTCGTGAAGAAGTCTACCCCTAGAGTGCCTGACTTATTAGGATGCCTGGCTTACCATACTACACTAGGCCCGCTATGTACGCAGCCACTGTGACATCACTCAGTCATAGAGGCCTTTTTGGTCTGACGTCAGATTATCTGAGCTCAAACAGGTGATCTGAATGGGCTTAATGTAATTAACTCGTTAGTACTCATGCGCCAGTTAAATTGTGCCAAGCATATCCGCCACGACCGAAGAGGTCTGATCACCAAGATTGTCAATATAATCTGATATTTGCCAACGTCTCCGCCAGACCATACTCGGCGCCACCTCATTTTCAGCTTTGGGAGCCATTTATTCAGCCGAATAGAGTCATGTAAAGTTGGATATGCCCTAGTATATGCTGCATTAGCCTTGGCCACTAATCATGGTTCATGAACATGCCGTCCTTGTCGAACCCTTTTTACCGAACTGACAGATTTTATAGGCTTTAGGCTAGATCTTAAGATTGAATGTTTATCCGTTCCCGTAGTGTGTGACTCCAGCCAACATTCGTACTCTTTGATAGAATCTGGTTCATGATACTTGTGAACAACCTCAAGTCCACTGTTGTATAGCTTGACTCCATGTGCAACATGCTCCTTCGCAGGCCATTCACTTTTAACCATTGTCAACATTATGGCCTCTGTTATGACCGCAGTATACATCCCAAATGTTAAGACGTTGGACCTCTGGGGCTATGCCGCGGGATGGGACTTATCCTGATGGTTGGGTTCTGCATTCTAGGTATAGGTTTTTTTTTTTTTTTTGGCTGTATCGTATGATCTCCCTATCTACTGTGCTGGGGAGGTGAGACGCTGAAGGCCATAGATCTTACCACTGCAGCTTCGCTGACACAAATCTAGGTCTCCTATTCAATTGTTTTTGGAGGTCCTGCGTATAGCTGGGATGTGTCCGCTGTCACGAATTTGCGAACGAGACCTTACATTTGCATTTGCTTCGTCACCGGTGTCGATATTAACATTTGCTGGATCCAAGACCGCTATGGAATTTCTAGCCATATCAACTGGCGATGGGGTTACGGAATTTGGGCAGTCATCTTGCCGGCATTCGCAATGTCCCTATATGTTTTGCTGGCCTATAACCTGCGCAGAACTAAGAAGGAAGACATTATCACTAAGGAAAGGAAATCCCAGTAGTTCGACATAGAACAGATCTGTTGGATCATCATAGAACTCGATTGTGAGGTGACGTCTTTTCTAACAGTTGACGAATTGCTAAAGGTGATACAGTCCCCTAGGTTTCCCTGTTTGCTAAGAGCTTTGTCATGTTTCTCCTTCCCTTCAGATGGCCAGTACTGCACCCCACGGCTGGCAAGCTGGCTATATTGTTACCATGATTGTGGTGGGCTTGATTCTTATCATTGGATTTGGATTCTATGAGGCTTGCCTCGCCCCCATGCCATTCCTAAATTACAAGTTTCTTAATGACAGGACTATCTTAGGCGCACGTCTCCTAGATATGACATTCTAGGTCTCTTACTAGTCACCTCTCATCCTTGGTGTACGGGCTGGATGTGGCCACTGCTAGATATGTCGGCAACACCTTTAGCGTGGTCTTCTTCGTCTTCTTGTTCCTTGCTAGCTGGCTCATCCACATCACAGGTCGCTTCAAATAGATTATCTGTGTCTGGGTACCGCTTTACATCTTCGGATTGGGCCTGATGGTGCATTTCCGCCAATTAGGTGGATATATTGTCTATATTGTCATTTGCTAATTTTATTTTCTCTGTCACTAGAAGTGGTTTTATTCTTTGCGTGCAGCTTGCCGTTCTCTCTTCTGTCGACCACTAACACGTTGCTGTGGTACTTGTCTTGTTGTTCGTCATAGGCAGTATTGGTGGCGCTGTAGGTAGTGCGATCTGTGGAGCGATTTGGACAGAGACGTTCTTGAAGCAACTTGAGCAAACCTACCGGAATCAGCTATCACTAATCTGGCCCTTATCTACGAGGGTCTTTTGGCGCAGCTTAGTTACCTATTTAGTAGCCTAACAGGGGATGCCATTGTGAAAGCCTGCGGCTACGCCCAAATAAGAATGCTTGCTTCTGGCACCGCATTTATGGTATTGGGCTTCATCTGGGTGGGCATGATGAGAAACCTGAACATGAGTCAAACCAAAGGCACTGTATTCTAAGACAAAATGCCAAGCTTCCAAACCACATGAAGGGTCGTGGGAAGACCACGACGAAGAGATAGAAATATACAAGTGGGCACTACAGGGCCCCACAGACACGAAGGAACCTTGCAACTGCATCGTTTTGTACGTACAAAATGGATCAGATTGCTTATGCAGTATTGAGTCCAGTGTCGTCACCAGAGAATTAACTATCAAGAGGGTGTGACGGAGATGGGGCTAGAGATATTCACCAAATTGCCTAGGGATCCAAGTTACATAAAGTCCTATTCGGTAGAGTATTAGTCAAATAACATTTGAAAGATTGCTAGATTGCCGAAAACCGGATCAGACTCAACTAGGGCTAAGGAGGCCCCATGAATATAGTAGAGGGGCCAATGGCTATCCCATTAAAATTCTAAGTTAGTGCTTGAAAGCACATAAACGTTGTATTAAATACATTATCACATTTGATAAGCCATCCTCAAAATGGTATCATAAAAGCCTCCACGAACGCCTGTTGCCAGCTGGACAACAAGTCGGTTGAGGCCAAGAGGGCGAAAAAAGAAGACGGGCAACTAAAGGCTCCTTTACTGCGCCTTGTTTGAAACCTTGGCCTTGTTCTCCCTCCGACGCTTCAGAGCGTCCGGGGTGTACTCGGTGTCAAGAACGTAATCCCACCACCGGAAGCTGCTAGCATAGTTGCCGATGAACTTCTCATGGTGAAGATCATGGTGATCAGCACCAGCCCAGAAGGGAAGGAAGTGGTGAAGACTCCAGGGGAATTCATAACCGCTGTGCGCATCGATAGCCTGGAACAGGCGCAGCACGATCCAGATGTACATGGTGAGAATATGTAAATCACCGGTCACAGCACACCAGAGGATGGGGCAGCCGACCGTTCCAAAGCCTAGGATCATCACCTCAATGGGAGATGCGTATTCAGCAGCCAAGCCGAAAGGCGCCGAGTATTGGTGGTGGATCTTGTGGATGGCCTTGTAAAGAGGGCCCCAGTGAAGAGCGCGGTGGGAGAAGTAATGCCAAGTATCCTCCATCACGAAGAAAACCGCAATCTGGTATGCCATGGTCCAAAGGGTGGGGAATGGGATCGAGGTTGAGAGTCCACAGAATTGTGCCATGGGGTGGAAGAGCCTAGAGTCCGTCAGGTGGGATTTTCAAGGCTAGAGAATCGAGATTCTTACCAAATCTGAGGTAATTCAACGGTGAAGTGACTGAGGAGCACAAATTTCGCGCAGTCCCACTGTTCGCGGAGCGAGGGAATCTTGTTCTAAATGTTGTTAGAAATCTTGCAACGGATCTCCTTCAATTAGAAAGATCACTCACTCCTTGAATCTTGTAGCGATTGAACAAGCCCAAAGTATCGATGAAAATCCAAGGAAGCGACCGACCGAAGTACACTGCTTCGTGCATCACGAACGACATGATGCCAGTGGCGAGAACATCATTCTGCATCCAAGCATACCAGGCAGCCCACAGCCTCTCTGCCACATTGAGCTGGGTGTTGTACTTGGAGATTTCCTCGAATTGGCCCCAGTAAGTCCCTGAGGACAAGACCGTTGAGTTCCTAAACAAAAGGTTAGGGCTTGGGGGGGAGAAGACTGAAATGTCAAAGGGAGAACCTACATAATGTCGTATTCCAAATAGAAGAAGGTATGTAAAACGTGAAAAGATGGAAAAGAAGTAGTCAGTTGTCAGTTCTTATAAAGAACGAATAGAAAGGGGGGGAATGTAAAATATTCAAAAGTAAAAAAAGGCGATCAGGGACAATCTAATCCCGACGTGGCGAGACTTTTCCCCCCTGAAAGGACATAAGGCCACTGGCAGGCCGGCATCCGAGGTCACCCCACCTGCATAATGTGGAATTCCCTCGTCTGTGTATGGCTGAATCGTACGATCTTAATCTAAGGTACGGAGTTATGGGGGTATATTGTAGTGTCTTCACTTTCTTTAATTTAGTCTCTAGGCTCCAATTTACTAGTTACTATTCTTACGGAGTACAGAGTACCAGAATAGATAAAAAGTTCAGTATGCGCTGTACACGCGTAGACGCGAGTACAGTTTGGTCTGTTTGCACTTTTGTTTGCTTTGTTTGTGTATGACGGCATCACGTTTTTCCCCTTTGAGCTTCACTCTTACTACACCGGAGTTATGTCGGTCATACGAGAGTGAGTGTGGTGGAACCACCCAAGGTCCAGGACCATTGTACTCATTGTTTTCCCTAGAACGGTTTGTGGCGTCAATTCACAGCTGGATCGCCTCCAGCAACAGATTGCAACTCCAAAACTGGAGGTCGCTTCCCTTCCCGATCAGTCCCAAGAACATATCGACCAGTTGCAAGATGTCATCCATTCTATTTCAGTGACATCGAAAACCCAAGCCCTTCTACCCGCCAATCGATTGGCCGACTTGCTCTCCGTCCCGGCTGTCTCTCGTTTCCAATCAAAGTCGAGTATATCTGGGGTGTCCGCTGGGAATATCTCTGACTATGTATGGATTGTAGCTGCAAAGGCTGCCGTCCAGGCATCAGGGCTGATAATGAACACTCTTCTGGACCAAACGCTTGAACTCCACGACGAAGCCTATTATTGGGGGGAGATGCTAGGCTCAGTCTGGCACAGCGGCCTGTATACGATCCAGACCTCTCCAGTGCAGCTGTTTCGATGGACCAAGAACACGTATCTGACACAAACCCAAGGTACCTCGTCCATCGCTGACAGGTGGATTCAATTCTACCAGGTTGCCCAAAAGAGTGTCCGGAAATTAGGTGGACACTCCATACGCGGCCATTTGCTTGCTCCCATCAGGTCATCGCGCGCGGAGATGCGGCAAAAAAGAGACTTCATCCTTGCAATGAAGGACCTTCACACCAGCAGCCTTGGCCTTCTGATGGAAGGGTTGCATTCGTTCGAGGCCGATGACTCGACTGCGAGCGCCACCTCGACGGTCGTCAGCAAGAAATGGCGCGATGAAGTATACAGGGCAGTGGTTCTGATCGAAGCTGTTTTTCACCAGATAAGCCTTGAGCCCAGCATCCAGGCGTTGGAAGAGGGCGTATTTGCAGCCCTGACGCATGATATGGATAGGATGCAGATGCAAGCGCAGAGTGAATCCCCTGTACAACAGCCTCTCGAATTAATTGAACGACTTGTGCATGTTCTCCGACAGAAGTTGCCACAGCATACAGCTTCGGTGTCAATGTTTGTTAGTCACCATGGGCGCCCTTCAGGCATAGTCCGCTACTGGTTGCCAATCTCAGCTGCAATCCTTTCCGGCAGTGTATCAATGAGGTTCTTGTCCAACAGACAAGAGGAAATCATTCAGGGGATTATGAACATTGGCGCCACAGCCATCGACTTTTGGGGCAACTGGGTTGTACACCCCATCCGAAAGCTCATTGGGACGATCAGACATGATGAAAAGAGCGAAATTGCCATCATGAGCAAGGATAGCCTACTGGCTGACCGGGCCAGCTTGGAAAGAATGGTGGTCGATTTTGTTCGAGATCGCCCGGACCTCCATGGAGGAGTGGCAGACACCACCGCCATCGTGAATTCAGTTAAGGAGGGTGACTTGACCCCCGTCCTGAAAGCGTATGAAAGGGACTTACGGTCGCCTCTTGTTGGCACCGTTCGAGGCGATCTCATCCGCGCCCTCTTAATTCAAATCCAGAAGACCAAGGTTGATGTTGAAATTGCCATCAGCGGTATTGATGCTCTACTAAAGAGCCAAGAACTTGTCTTTGGGTATGTGCTCCCGAATTGAAGAACATGAGCATTATTGATTGAATTTGCTAGGTTCGTTGGATTAACCCCGGGGATTCTGGTCTCCTTTGCAGCCCTGAGATGGCTGGGAAGCCTTTTGGGTAGCCGGCGAGGCCTGCAAAAGGGCAAGCAGCGATATGAACTCAAGCGTGGATTGCGGTAAGGCGCTCCTAACTGGTCAAACTATTCTTCCCCCAATACTAACCGCGATGACTGTAGCAATGTGGCCCGGATTTTGACTTCCTCTGCGATTTCATCCAAGGGAACCATCCCTTACAAAGATTCTGGACAGCTGATATGTGAGGCGGAGGCTCTACTCCAGCAGATGAGAGCAGTTTCTAGCAGCATGAAGTATCAAGAGTTCCGGGAAGACATCCAGGATCTGCTTAATGTACAAGATGGAGTCGATAAGCAGCTTCACGTGGTTGAGAGGATGAGATGGTCATACTTTCAATAGAGGGACTTGACAGAATAACATATAATATCCATGCCATCTCTTTACTCCTTAGTTATAACGTTACAGACTGAACACATGATGCTTACATAAGGTATGTAGTTGCGTACCGTCATCACCTCCACTCTGGTTATCGACCTCCTTTCCCAAAGTCAAAACTTACGCTTGTGTAAACGCCCTTGTCCTCTTACATTTGATATCGGTCGCATCGTTTCTCTCCTCTAACCTTTGATACCTCGGGAGAAACCTACCAGGCTCCGATTTATCCACGCTGCTTCTCCGCTTCTCTCCAAATACCCCCATTCCCATCTACTTTTCCTTACAACCCAAGTCTTGAACGGGGTTCGATCCTCAGACTGTCCACCTTGCCACCTTTCACCCCTCTTCACAAACATCGCGACCATCCATCATGGCGGGCACACGGAATTATGACTTCCTGGTCAGTATCCACCGCCGTACAAGAGATGCAATCTGACATGGTTATAGATCAAACTACTGTTGATCGGAGACTCCGGCGTGGGCAAGTCATGTTGTCTTCTACGATTCAGTGAAGACTCCTTTACCCCATCATTCATCACTACCATCGGTATCGATTTCAAGATCCGCACGATCGAACTGGACGGAAAGAGGGTGAAACTGCAAATCTGGGACACAGCAGGCCAGGAGCGCTTTCGCACGATCACGACGGCGTACTACCGAGGCGCCATGGGTATCCTCCTTGTCTATGATGTGACTGACGAGCGATCATTCCAAAGTGAGTCCCTCCTTTTCTTTGCCAGTGGGCTGTGCCTGACACCTCTCTCCATTTAGACATTCGGACATGGTTTTCAAACGTCGAGCAGCACGCCAGCGAAGGCGTACACAAGATCCTCATTGGAAACAAGTGTGACTGGGAAGAGAAACGAGCGGTTACTACCGAGCAAGGCCAGCAGCTCGCCGATGAACTCGGTATTCCTTTCCTCGAGGTGTCAGCCAAGAACAACATCAACATTGAGAAGGCATTCTATAGCCTTGCATCGGATATCAAGAAGGGGATGGACACATCCAAGACCGAACAATCGGGTTCCCAGGGGGTGAGTATAGACCAGCAGGGCTCGGGTCTGAACGGTAACTCTGGAGGAAAGTGTTGTTAGTTGTATTACCATTGTCTTTGAGCTATTATTCTATTATTTTCTGGGTTTCGCATGTCTGAACGTCCAAGTTTTTGCAGTACTGTATATGTCCGTAGTTTATATGCCTATCACAGGCCCACTTTCTGGGGTACATTTCTCGAATTCTGCTGTGTACCGTTCCCGAAGTTGCCCCTCCAAAAAAAAAATAAAAAATCTCTCTCTCCGGTCGAGATACAACTTCTTTCGAAACTAGTTGATCTCCAGGGAATCCCGAGATACTCCAGACTTTGCCTGCAACCTTTTGAACTACTGTATTCTATATAGGAGGGGAAAAACTCAACCCCACCAATTCTTGAACCACAACCAACTTTCAACATGGCTGAGGTTCGCAGTTTTACTGCTCGACCTTTGTCGAAACAAACGGCGCGGAAGGATTTGAAAGATGCCTTTCGGGTCTATCTTAATTCCTCATCGCTGGCTGCGTTGAGGCTGCAAACTGACAGCATCTGCACATTAAGGCAAGCTGATGGGCCACCCAAGACTGCTATAGCATGGTATGCAGCAGAAAATATTCAAAATACTGTCATGCAAACGTCAAGGACCCTGCAAGATTGCTACGGTATCAAAATTGGAGAAAAAGTTTCCATAACCAAGGTCGAAGGCTCCCTGGAGGACATCGAATTGGTGACATTAGCAGATTCTTCGGATGCCGACAAGATCGACAAGTACGGTCCCATCTCAGACGCCGACAGGCCTCACTGGGAATGGGCCTTGGATGAAAAGCTTCTCAGATGCGGCGCTCTGACAACAGGACTGACCTTCGAACTGGAGCTCAAGGGCCAGCCCAGGAGTTTCCGAGTGGTCAACATCCGCTCTAAGAATCCCAACTCCAGCCACACATTGTTCCAGTTCACAGAGGCTTCCAGAATCTCCCTTGGAGCAGAAACAGAAGTATCTACGGCAGATAAGCCCTCTGACATTCAAGTCCAGTCTGTTGGCCTTGGAGGTCTATCCCGGCAGATCGAGGACATCAATGAGAGCTTGTCTGATTTTAACATTGATCCGTGGAAACCAGCGATGCCATCATTTTACGAGAACAGCCGAGGCATTCTACTCTACGGACCAAAAGGCACTGGCAAGACAAGCCTTTTGGAACAGATCGAGAAGGCTGGCTGGAGACAAGTTTTCAGAATCGGGACTTCCTCTCTGGGCAGAAGTACCAGCGAAGGCGAGGCCAAGCTGCGCAATATCTTCCAGGAGGCAGCTCGCTCTAAACCTAGTGTGATCATCATCGACCAGCTGGAATTTGTTGCCCCAAAGCGAACCTCTTTCGAATCTCAGTCTCTTGCATCTGTCTTGTGTGAAAACTTGGATGCCCTTCGAGGTACATCAATACTAGTGGTAGCCGCAACACGGCACCCTAACCAGGTGGATGACGCCCTCCGAACTCCCCATCGACTTGGGACGGAAATTGAACTGCAAGTTCCAACCGCACAGGACAGAGCGGAAATTTTACGTGCCATTCGTGGGCCAGTTTCTGCTGGCTTAACCGATGAGCTCGTGGAGTTCCTGGCCGAAAAAACACACGGATACGTAGGGGCTGACCTTTTCGCTCTCCTGCAATTAGTCTGCCGCAAAGCTCGACAACGGCAACTGTTGGAAAAGAGTTCCCATGTAACATCAGCCGACTCCACAATAGAGCCCCGTAGCTCACATCCTGGGGGTGATAGCGTGGGTGACATGGTCACCCCGCTGGTGATCCAGGAGCCAGATATCATGTCCTCTCTGCAGGAGATTCGTCCTACTGCCATGCGGGAAGTTTTCCTAGAGACCCCCAAGGTTAGATGGTCGGACATTGGTGGACAGCATGATATTAAAAGACGTCTCCAACAAGCAGTCGAGCGACCTTTGAAGGTGAGAAGAATTCCAAACCCAATAAATTGAAAAAAACTAACCTTATATACTAGTATCCCCAACGGATGCGCAGACTCAATGTCAATAGCAAAAAGGGTGTTCTTCTCTATGGACCACCGGGTTGTTCAAAGACGTTGACAGTGAAGGCCCTGGCAACCGAAGCTGGGTTGAACTTTTTGGCAGTCAAGGGCGCCGAGATTCTTAGCATGTATGTTGGAGAATCCGAGCGGTCATTGCGAGAGATTTTCCGGAAAGCTCGAGCTGCAAGGCCTAGCATCATATTTTTCGACGAGATTGATGCCATTGCCGCGCGACGCGGCAGCTCCCAGGGAGGTGTCAACGTTTTGACGACTTTGCTGAACGAAATGGACGGCATTGAAGAGCTCCGAAATGTACTGGTCATTGCGGCCACCAACAAGCCCGATGTTCTAGACCCGGCTTTGATGCGCCCTGGAAGATTGGATAACATCCTCTATATCGGCCCGCCAGACGTTGAAGCGCGCAAGGAAATCCTACGCATCTGGGCCAACAAGTCCGTGGTGAATCCGGAGGTCGACTTGGACGACCTGGCAATTCTGACCGAGGGATATTCAGGTGCAGAGATAGTCAGTATCTGTGAAACTGCCGGAGATGCTGCACTCGATGAAGAAGAGGAGACTCAGCAGGAGCAGGATGTGAAGTGGAAGCACTTTGAATATGCCCTGGGACAAGTGCGGCGCCAGATTACGGATGCTGTCATCAAAGAGTATGAACAGTGGAGGGATGGCTAGGAGGAACTTGAATATGCTGTACAATAAAAGAAAAATCCAAGAGTAAGGGCAAAAGGCGAAGGTGAAGGAAAAGGTCAAAGGAACTATACTTGAGAGGTGATTACTAGATCGGGTTAGCGTATTTTAGAACGCATCCCTTCGGAGGTTCCCTTCACTTGCGACAATCCAACTCTCTGCTCTTTGCGCTTTCCATTTGACATCGCACCTCTTCTTCTAATCTCAACCTCCTGGATTCTTACCGTACCTGATAAGGTCTTCGTGCGCCCCGAGCGCCCAGTCTTCAAGATGTCCATGAGATCACCTCGTGGTCCTTCACCACAACGCTCACTCGAGCAGGACCGAGCGCGATCGCGGTCGCATTCTGTACGTCGCTCGAGGCCCCTGAGTGAAACTCCCCGGAGCATTAGTCGGAGTCCGTCCCATGGACGTCGCGATCGGTATCGCTCAAGAACCCGATCCCCCTCTCGTGGCAGAACCCGATCCCGCAGTCGCAGCCGAGGCGGTCGTCGTTATCATAGCAAGAGTGACAGTCGGTCACCCAGTCCGAATCAAAGCCCCCCGAGAAGTTCCAAGGTCAGTGTTGGTGCAATTCTACGCATAGTCCCTTCCAAGATATTAAGGGCATGAAGAATGTGCTAACGTTCATCTTACTGAAAGATTGTGGTAGAGAAATTGACCAAAAATGTTACGGAAAATCACATCCGAGAGATCTTTGGGGACTTTGGAGACATCGAGTATCTCGATCTTCCAATCAACAAGGCTTGTGAGACTTGCTTCTCGTTCACGCGTCGACGTACATGTTCTAACGCCTTTTATTTTAGTTATGACCAACCGTGGAACGGCGTATATTCTCTATTATGACCCTGCCGATGCAGAGGCCGCTATTGCTCACATGCACGAGGCTCAGCTTGATGGGGCCATCTTGAATGTTTCAATTGTTCTTCCTCGACGGAAATTCTCACACTCGCCACCCCCTGCATCAAACCGTGGGACTGGCGGCCGTCCTAGATATGGCCGGGGACCATATGCAGGCCAGCAGTCTCCGCCAAGGAGACATGGAGGTGGACGGCCTACGGAACGTCATGATGTCTACAGACCAAGGTCTCTATCTCGGTCACGATCCCCCGTTCGTTCTCGGTCGTACTCTTCTCGATCACGGTCTCCCCTACCCCGACGAGGTAGTCTTCGCGCAGACTCGCGCCACCGCAGGCGCCGTAGCCCAAGTTACAGCAGTTATGGTGACAGCAGTCGTAGCCGCAGTCCAGCCAGAAGCCGTGGCCGAAACCGCCACTGAGCACCCAATGGTTCAAAATATCATGTCACTGTCTTCATGGAGTGTGGTTCCTTGGTGCGAAAATTTACCTTCTCTGCTTGGCCTTCTGTTGCAGGCAACTGAATGTCTTCCACAAAACATCCACAATCAATGTATTAAAATCAAGAAAGAAACCGAAGCTACGGAGCAGCACCTAAATGAATAACAATGTCCTTCGGGGTCCATTCCTTGTCATTTTCTTAGAATGGTAAACTACATTTTCTAACTATGGATCAAAGTAATGGCATCGTATTGACAGCTCAGAAGAATGAACACCATCCAATATACATCGAGGCCAGCTTCTTCTTGTCTGTTGCTTGCACGATCAACTCATCCACTTGGCCATCCACGGAAAGGGCAATGGGCTGTTTGGACATGTAGCCCCGAAGTTTGTTTCGCACGTCTTCCAAAACACCAGCTGGTGTGTCGGGGACATTGACATGGGCGCGACGCTGAGGGGGAAAGAAGGGTATACGTTAGCGGCAGCTCATTGAGAAACTAAATGAAGTTATGCTCACCCTCTTGCCAATGAAATCTGTTGTTGGATCATGCAAAAAGGTCTCGAGAACAGTCATTAACGCGTCCTCGTTCTGTCGTAAAAGACTGAGAGTGATTTCACAGGTCCTTCTGAAGGGACCTATACCTCTAGAATTAGTACAGAACTAACGCCGAGGTTTCATCCAAACACACCGTTGTATCCATAAGCGCCAAACGCATCAACCATGTTATGGGTCAGTCGGAATGGTACCACCTCGGGCTTTTCGAATGTTTGACCCTTGTCAAAGAGACAGTTGAAATCGACATGTAATAGGCCACCTGTGCCTTCCTCGAATGAGAGGTTCTCGCCATGTCGATCGCCTAGACTATAATGAAGTAACCCGTATTAGTGTCGCAGAACCAAGGTAAAAGAAGCCCTCGGGGCAATAGAATGGCGATCTAACATACCCCAGGACATATCCCACCATTGACATAACGGCAGAAGATCGTGTATACCGCAGTCTGGCTGTGAACCATGCCTCTGTCTCGGGGAACATCTCGATGAACCACTCATGAAGAACTGGGGGAAGCCTGATGCCTGTTAGTATGGGAGAACACTGACAAAGAGAGCTATCTTGGAACATACTTGGCCAAGATTTTGGTCGTGAACAACGGCAGTTTTGAGAATGATGGATCGGCGCAGATTTCGTCCAAATAGTGCCTGATCTCGTTGTACTATTGCGCTCGTCAACAAGCTAATCAGCTAATCCAGCAATCCTGATATGGTCCCCATAAACTTACGTTTGGTGAAATTCCTCTCTCGCGTAGAGCCTTGATAATAATCTCCCTCAGCGTGCGGAGGTTGTCAACCCACTCGATAAGACCACATTCCTCGTTTAAAGGTGTCACAGCGTATGTTTTGATATCTATTCAGCGTCAGCTTTTGGCTTGGATGAACATACAGCAGAACTACTCACACATGCGCCGCTTGCTTGATTCGACATCTCTTTTGAGAAACCTGTTGATCATGTTGTTGAATTCCATGAGACGTTGGTCCTTGCGCAAGTCATCCTTGGGTTTGCACAGTGCATTGTATATCTTCCCATCAGATCCTCGTATGCTGATCTTGCGTGGCTTTTGGAGCGAATTCAAAATTTGAGCATCATCAAGAACAGCCTCGATGGTGGTTGGATCCCGGGGGAAAGCCCTAAATCCTTTGATGTATTCAAGGTTTTGGCTGGCAGGAAGGCTTGGAATCAACATCGCCTGGAAAGGAACAACCAGTCGACACGGTGTCACTTTATGGTTGAATCCTAGGTTTCGTCCCAGTTGGACCTTGGACACTTTCCCCTCAACTCGAGCAAGACAGAGTTGAAGTAGTTCTTCGGAAAACTTTTGGCCTTGGTTTATCATGCGGCGAATATCGGATGCCGATGATGACTCTCCCTTGGACTTGTTTCCATAATCCTGGGTAGGTTAGTTATTATGTGATCGGGTCCAAGAAGTAGCTACTTACCATAATCTTCTGCAGGCAGGTGAAGCCCTTAGTGGCTCGCTCTTTGTTGGAGGATTTGACCACGGCTAGGACAGTCCAGAGACCCTGCTGTGGGAAATTGTGAACCGCTTTGGCTACGATCCGCGTCAACAGATCGTAGACTGTGCTGTTGGGGTGGCAGATCCGGGCAACGACTTGGGGCAGGATTGTGAACAACAGAGCTGCTTGTAAGCGTTTCTCGATGTATTTCTTCAGCTGTGCATGCATTTCATCCAGACTCTTCTGTCGTTGGGCTTTCGTATGTCTCCGGAAATCCTCATTATCCCCCCGTTTAGGATCAAGTGGCTGTTCAACGATAGAAGCATGTTCAAGCCAGAGAGTAAGGAGCTTGGGCAGTGTCTGAAAGACATATTTGGTCCCGTATGTCAATGAGCGGAGATAATTATCAATGACAAGCTTTGTAGCTTCTCCACTCAGATATATCTGAGCTTCCTTTCCCATGGGCTTGGCCTTTTCGGATTCCAGGATCTTGTTGTAATGCTTTCCAAGGTAATAATGTGCCCTTTCCCACTTTGGATACAGCTTGATGGCTTCTCGGTATCTCTGAACAATGGCCTGAGAATGGGTCTGACCGGCTCTGTCTGTCCATTTAGCCAGCATAAGATGAGCGAGAGCAGTGGATTCATTTTGATGTTGTCCGCGGCTTGAGAGGAATGACATGGCTTCAACTTCAACTGAAGAGGATGTGGTTGGGTTGGCTTCATTGGCAGATATTGCACCCTCAAGAGTCTGAATGGCCTTTCGATGATGACCATCTTTCCAGAGGAGTCGCGCATGTTCAATGGTAGCAGATCTGTCTTTCAAACGTGCAGCGTTCAGCATTGAGTGATACGCTTGACTGCTGAAGTTGCCCTTGCGTGATAGACGCGCACTAGTCAGCCACGCAGCAGAGATATCAGAATCGGCAAATTCGCCCCTAAATCACACATTAGTTGAATTCCTGATGTTTGTCCAGACGCAACTCACGCTAGCTCCATGGTGGCACGTCTCAACCCGAGAAGGTATTGTTTGTCAGACAGGTAACCGCCCAAAACATCCAGCCGCCTGTCCAGCGTATCGAGCAAGCCTGAATGCGAACGACCAGACTCTACCTTGGCAATAGATTCTACCTCCGACAAAGCATGCAACCGAAGCATGTCGTCATGGCATGATTGTAGTGATGCCACCGAGTTTGTGGTCAGTGATCGAGCAACATTGAGCCTGAGCTCGTTGATCTTGTCTGTGAATGAACCCGTTTGCTTTTGACGAAGAGCATTAAGGGCTGACCCGATGCCAACATTGAACTCTTCAGTGTCTTGTTCAGCACACAACCCAAGGTAGCCTTCTAGCTTATCCCATCTGCCCATGATCCACGTTGCTTCAACTGCAAATGGAAGGAATCGCGAAGCCGCTGATTCGCTTTCTTTGAGAACCTCGAAGCGGGTAAGGATAGCATCTTGTTGACCGGATTCTTTGAGGCAGGTCACGAGATTCCATTGAGCGTCAACATTGTTGGGCTCTTTTTCAAGCTGTAGTTCATACCAACTCTGCGCTGTGGCCCATCTTCCGGCTTTCCTATGTTCAAGGACCTGCTGGTCAATGTTCAAGGCGGACAAGTGGCTTGAGATGCCCTCAATGCCATCCGGTTCATCGATTTGGCTATAGATGTCTTGTAATCGTTGGTACAGAGGCTCAAGGCTGCTGCGATCCTGTTCTTCTCTGTGCGACTTGATCTTTCGAATGTACTGCTCCCAATGAAAGAGTGCTTTGGAGAATGATTTACATTCAACAGCACGCTTAGAGATAATCTCGGGAGGTATGGAAGATAGAAGCGCTTCAACAGACTTGATCTGTGATGAGTATTTGTCGATGAGTGCGTCACGGCTCAAATCCTTATGGGAACGACTCGAATGGTTGGAATTTTGTGTAAGGCCGTTGAGGTGCTTTTTTTTCCCTTGTAGCCACCTGGACAGGTAATCAAGCACTTCAAAGACGCTCTGACTACTGCTTATGATTGTCTCACGGGTATTGTTGTTCGTCTCGGGGACAGGATGTGAAAGAACTCTCATCAACTCGCGTTGAAGATCCTGTTGCTCCTGTTCAGTCCCTCCTACAATACGGTTCAGGACCGCAAAGGGCAGAAGGAACGAAGATATGGAAATATCTTGACCTTTCACGACACGACTAGATATGGAGAAGACCATCTTTGCGTTGTCTCCATTACCTGTTTGCAGAAGATCTTGCACGAAAGCTCGAAGCCATTCGCTGTGAGTCAATTTAGAGGAAAACAGCGGATATCTGACTTCAGCATGATTGGTTACAACAGTGACCGTGTATGTCGATGTGAGAAAGGGCGTGAGAGTGTTCCGAACACTTTCCGGAAGCTCCATCCAGCGTTGATGCTTTTCGTCGCCTTGAAGATCGCGGGACCGCTGATTAAACACCGAATTTAGCTTGCAGAATTTGAGTAGGCCCTGCATAGCCCATGCTAGAAAGCCCTGGGCTCTTGTATTAGAAGCAGACAGGAATGCCTCCACCAGCACGTGCTGGAGGAAGAAAAGAATGAAGGCAACTGTTTCCTCCATCCTGTCGAAGTTGGACAAAACGAGTATGTCCTTTTTCTCTTTTATTGTCTCTACTCGGTTGGGATCAAGGCAGCCGACAAGCCCCAAGCATCGTGCCGACAGCAACGTAATGCTGTCCGAGGTGGTGCTGAATTTCACACAACAGTCTAACAGCGACCTGGTCAGATGGGCAATCACAGGATCTGGTTGTTCACTTAGAACAGAGTCGTGGAGGAACTCCTCATTTGCTGACAGAAAAGGCGCCAACTCCATCAATGCTTGTTCAACGACGGTAGCATTCTCACTTTGGCAGCGACGTATAAGTGCCAGGAACTGGCTGCGCACATCCATTTGGGCCCTAAGGTCATTGATCTTGGCATCAAACGTGGCCAATTCTGGAATAGACGCAAGCGAAGGCATTGTGTTGAATGTATCTCTCACAAGGCTCCTATGATTTGTCAAGATGTGATCGATGAGCTGACAGGCACGGTTTTTGCTCTCTTCGGTCAAGTTGTCCCAGTATCTAATCACAATTGCCAGAGTTTGGTCAATTATCGGTTCAAGATCCTCTTCACTAAGTGAGCTGACCAA